CCCCCCCCCCCCGCCGTGTTCTTCTCTGCTTCCCTGTGCATGGCAGGGGCCTGCAGGGGTGTTCTCCTGACTTCGGGCACACCCACCATGGGGGCCTCTACGCCAGCACAAGACCACTTCCAGGGGACCAGAAATACAGAAAACGTGGGGAAAATGTTTGATCAGGACTTTACCTTGAGAAAAGTGAAACTAAATATGAAAATAAGTATTTTACACTGTATTTAATTTTTTTAAGTTATAATTGCAATTGAACAAGCAATGAGGTTAGGGTCACCTGTGGTTTTTCCACAGCTTTGTATGACAGTCCTTGATACTGAACTTTTCCAGCAAATAGGGTTCTGCAAAAGGAATTAAGGGCCCAGTGGTTTTCCCAAGGCCTCTCTCAATCGTTTGCTGGTCAGTTATTCTCTTGAGAAGTATCTGTCTGGCTCCTTGTGGATTTTCTCTGACCTCTGAGAGGACCAACCTTGCCTACCCTCACGTAGCCACAGGAGGAGCAGCTGTCCATGCCACCCATGGCCTTCGTGACAAGCTGCAACTTTTGCAAGATTTGCAGCTCCAGTTTGCACCTTAGTGTCTTTGCATTTTGGGAGAGACCCACCAGCAATGCCTTCGAGGCCATGGGCTGGCAGTAATGCTGGGGTAAGTGGTGAGGATCTGCTCATCAGTGAATATTTGCTTTCTGGAACCGCCTCCAAACTGAGCAGGCTCTCTGAAAAATAAGCAGTGCCTCCTCCCTATATCTAAATAACATTGTTTTTTGTCAACTAAAGTACACATACAGGGTCACACCACCCCGTCTCCCTGACTAGGCACTATGTCCACACTTCTTCAGGACTGTTCTGCAGTGGGGCCAGAGTTCGAGCAGGCAGTTTCTGTCTAAACGGCCAGCGGGGTCAGCAGTTCCTCTTGCATTTGGCCTTGAGCAAACTTGATCTTGACCAAGGCCAGCGCAATATGCAACTGGCTCTTGGCAACTTCCTTCCAGCAAAGCCCAAAGCCCTCAGTCCTAATTCTAGAAATACCCTCAAAGACGGAGCCCAGCAACCCCCTCCCCCTAACGGCGTCTCTGCAAAGCCTCTGTCCACTCCAAGCAACATTTATTGAGGATGGCTTATAAGCTAGCTAGGTGGGGCGGGGCCCGGGGCTGCCCTCGGCGTCCATACCTCAGGCTGTATACTCATATATACAGGGATGGGGAAGGGGCAGAGGAGCCAGGGCGCCATCTGGGGTGGGTGCCCTGGCCTCAGACAGCTGACGCCAGCTTCCGCTTGGTGCTCTCGCTGCAGCGGTTCAGGATGAGGTCAGCGCTGGGCCGTGGGGGGACTGCGGGCTGCGGCTTCGGGCGCTCAGTCTGCGGCTGCTCCTCTGCTGGCAGACGGCGCAGCCCAGTGAGAGGCCCCGCCTCTTATCACCCTCTTGGCCCCGCCCTGCCCCCAGGCCCCGTCCCGCACTCACTCAGCGGGCTCCCCGCACTCTGCGGCTCGGGCCGCACCAGGCGGCGACGCTGCTGCAAAAAGCGGACGCTGTTGCGCCGATAGGTGTCCTGGCTGAGGCGTTTCCGTGACCGCTGGTGGATGCTGTGCGCGTTGCGGATGGATGACCTGGGCCCAGCGGGGCGGGGCAGGGGCGTTGGTCATCACCCGGGTGTCCCCGCTGCCCCCGCGCAGCCGCGTCCCTGCCCACGGGGGCTCATATGGCCACCCCTGGGGTCCAACAACTGGCCCGAGGAAGTGCGGGTAGGCAGGGGGAGGTGGGAGCGGGGAGGCATGGCCTGAACGCAGCTGCCCTTCACAGGTGCGGACCCCCGCCGCGCCGCAAAGCCCAGGTCCACTTACCACGCCCCTCACCGGACTTCAGCCGGCCCCCTACCCAGGAGGCCCTGCGGGCTGCCACAGGGACCCTCCCCAAGGACTCAGGGCTCCAAGCGCCTTCACCTTCACCTCCACCTCACACTCCTGCTTTCCTACCGCCTGGGTGCCAGCCCCACGGCGCGGCGGGGGACAGCGGGAGCATGTTCAGACTCTTGACCCGGTGAGGGTGCTGACTCCCCAGCCAGGATCGGAGCCCTGGTCCCCTGCCCCAGCCCTGCCAATCCAGGCCCGACAGAGGGAACCCGTGGTACACCCTCCTCAGCCCCGCCCAGCCCCCAGCCCCAGGGACTTGCTCACCTGCGGGGCGGTGCCCCTCGTCTCTTGATCTGGCGTTGGGCCTGGGCTATGTCCTGCCCTGCCTTCTGCAGGTACATGGACGGGAAGTAGCCCGTGACGTCTTCTTTCCTGCAACAGAGACAGAAGCCCCGGCAGTGGGGAGATCAGGGCTCCCTTGACAGGGGGCAAGGCAGCTAGCTGGGAGGTTGCAGATACCTGGGATGGCCAACACCAGACCCTGCCCCTCTGGGCCTCAGTTTCCTCATTGAGGCAACACAAGCCCTCCCAGCTGTGATACTGGAAAGAGGAGGAAATTAGCAGATCCAAATCTCCCCAGAGACGTGTATTTGCTGTAAGACATCTGCAGTGTTGTATTTGTCCGTTTTTCTTTTATGGTGATTGCCTGTGTGTCCTAAGAAACCTTCACCCACCTGCACATCACCAAGGTCTATCTTCCAAAAGCTTATTAGTTTTGGGTTTTGTGTTTGGTAAAACCTGTGATCCATCCCAAATAAGTGTGTATGGTGTGAGGTAGGGATCTAGGCTTTTTTTGTTTTTTTTTTGTTTTTCCTTATGGATATCAGTTGTTCCAGCATCATTTGTTGAAAAGATTTTTTTTTCATTCTCACTAATATTTAGGAGTGAAGAAAACATTGCATAATACAAACTTCATTCAGTAAAGCTGATTCTTCTTGCCTGGTAGGAGAATCACAAGCAAATTCTCAGGGTGCAGGATGGGGATTAATTGAGTGTGGATCTAAAACATTGAGAAACCCTGCTTCAAAGCCTCCAGCCCAGGGCCATGCTGAGGATAGGTGCCATGGCCACGGGTTTGCTGGGGTCATCGGCTGGCCCTGTGACCCAAGACACTGAAAACATGTGCAAGGACCTGGGGAGGACTGGTGGCTCCAGGGAAATGGCTCTACAAGCCGTGGGATTCTACTTTCCCTAAAACTGGGGGGTGGGGGAGAGAACTAGTATTCCTACATTCATTTGGAGGAATAAACAGAGGGGAAGTGCAATGAAAGATTTAAAGGGATCAGGGATGACGGGTCAGTTCTACCAGTTATCAAACATAATAATTAATACAAAAATTCATTGTGTTGCTGGAGAAGGAATAGTAGATGGATTGGTCAGGGGAAGTGACCTCAAGTCACAAAGGAAAAATGTACCCATTCTGACAAGCACACTAAATCCAAAAGACAGGTAGGGTGGGATTATCATTCATCCCCTACCACGGTGGAAACTGAGCCCAGAGAGGGGCGGTGGCATACCCAGTGTCACACAGCCAAGTCAGCACTGAGCACAAACAGGCACTGCCCCAGGCCAGGGCTGACCCTCAGGGCAGGCACAGTGCGGGGAGGGAAAGAGGGGTGCTCTCCTACCTGATGACCCACCAGCCGTCCAGGAGCTTATGAATGACGTCAATGGTTTCACCCTCCTGCAAGGACACCTCGTCCTCCAACACGGCAGTGTAGGTTTTGATGGTGACATAGGGCTCACCTGGTCCAAGGTGGGGGGAGGGGCATGGTGTGAGGGTCCGCCCAGCCTGAGGCTTCCCACCCCTTCTTGCCTCTCTGGGCCTGGGCTTCCTCCAGCTTGTCCTTGGTCCCCTTCTGCAAGGTTCCTCCCAGCCAGTTGTGGGGGCATCCTGGAGTTCTGCCCTCTACCCATTCGACCCAGGGGGATTTGCCCACTCCCACCCACCACCCCCCACACCAGGCGCCAGCAGCTCCATGGCTGCAGAGGCCTGGTCAGGCACCTAAATAAAGGAGTGGCTGGGTGGGAAGTGTGGGAGTGTAGCACCCGTCTATGTGGCACCTGAGCCACTCGACTCCAGCCAACTGTTGGCATGTGGGGCTGTACACACCTTTCCAGTTTTTAAAGAGGAGCCATAAATCCACATAAAATTGTGAAATCTCCCCATTTTAAAATATGGATAACCAATTCTATTTTTTTCCAAACTCCACAAGGACCCCATCCAACCTGGGGGTTGCCAGTTTTCCCCTTCTTATCAGCAACCCTCCTCCAGGCAGCCCTCCTTCCTGAGCCTCAGGTCTGCTAACCCTTCAGCTTTCCACTGGACCTGGTCCCAGCAGACTGCCACCCAGTGTCCCAGGCTGACCTTATCATTCCCCACCTCTATTCCACCTCCTGGTGCCCTGCCCTGACCAAGGGCACCACCTCCTACCAGGGCCCCCAAGACAGTCAGTCAGCCCTGACACCCCTCTGTCAAGCCCCCATCATGTCTGCCTTTTGGCTTTTCAATATCCCCAGGGCCCTTCCCACCACTTCCTCCCACACCCTTACAGCCATGGAGGGCAGAGTGCACCTGCATAGTTGGGCTCTGGGTCCTCTACCTCGTCAGGACTGTCCAGGGGCTCCAAGTAGGACGCTGGGACCCAACCACGCTTTGTCTTCATTTGGCAGAACCACCAGCCTGTGTTAGGGGTGTGGAGCAGTAAGTCAGGTTGGGCCTGGCAGCCTCCCTCAGCCATCAGGGCGGTGAGGACACTTGGACACAGACCCACAGATATCCAACACTCGGATTCAGAAGTGTCACCTTCACTCCACTCCACACCAAAGTCACATACCCCCACACACACACACACACAGGGTCACAGAATCACAGCTCAGAACCCACTTCACACACATGAGGAGTTGGCCTGCCCACTCAGATAGGACCCCCAGACATGCGCAGTGAAGCAGGCAATATATGCAGAGACCCACAGCCACCCCAGGGTACATGCTCAGAGATAGGATGACCCACAATGTGGGAGGACAGTCAGGGCCCCAGCGGGCCAGGCAGGGAAGAGGCCCGAGGCTGCCTGAGGGGCAGAGCCTTGGTGGGGGTTTGTGGCCGTTGGCCCAGGCAGCAGGGAAGGAAGGTTGGGCAGGGAAGGGGGCTGACCGCTCTCGCCCTTCTCCACGACGTCCACCACGTCACCCATGGCCAGAGCCATCTCGGAGCCCGAGCTCTTCTCGTAGTCAGCAATGGCCCGGTATGTCTGCAGGATGATGGGGCCCGTGATGTCTGGGCAGAGAGAAAGCAGGGTGAGTGGGCTACGGGGGTGGGCCGCCTCCTCCTGGCTCCCCCTGTGGTCCCCTGTGGAGGCCACCAGAACTGGCACTGGCATCCCAACCCCACCCAGCCACAGGTGGATGCCACAGGTGGATGCGCCCTGCAAGCTGGAAAGCAGCAGAGACAAGCTAGTCTTTGCAGCCGTGCATTTAGTGAGCGCCTAGTGTGTCCCAGCACTAGTCACATACTTTACACACATTCTCCTCCTCATTTGATGAGGTTAGTGAGCAGGCCTCCTCAGCATTAATGTGCACATGAATCACCCAGGAAATCATGCAGAAACAAGGTTCTGGTTCTATTGGTGGGACCCAAGAAACTGCATTTCCAACCAGTCCACAGGTGACGCTACTGCTTCTGCATGTCGTGGGCTGAATTGTGTCGCTCCCCACCGCCACCCCCACCCCCACCCCCCAGAATCCATACATTGAAGCCCTAACACCTAGTACCTTAGAATCTGACTGTATTTTGAGATAGAGCCTTTAAGGAGGTGATTAAGGTTAAATGAAGTCATAAAGGTGGGGCCTGATCCAACAGGACTGGGGTCCTTATAAGAACAGGAAGAGACACCCAGGTTGTGTGTACATAGAGGAAAGGCCATGTGAGGACACAGCAAGAAGGCAGCATCTGCAAATCAAGGAGAGAGGCCTCAGCAGAAACCAGCCCTGCCACAGCTTGATTTCAGACTTCCAGCCTCCAGAATGTGAGAAATAAATGTGTGTTGTTTAAGCCACGCAGTCTGTGGTAGCTGTTATGGCAGCCCAAGCTGGCTAAGATACTGCTGGTCCCTGGACCATACTTAGAGTGACCCGGAGTACTCGTCTGGGCATCCCACTGACTGGTTAAAATCATGCTCCACATTTAGTAGCTATGTGACAGTTGGTGAGAGTCTCAGCTTAAATCCAGCCTCAATGTGTCCAGCCGGAAAATGGGGGTCATAGCATGATAGTACCTACTTCATATTGTTATAAAGATGGTTATGTGAGTTAATACATGGAAAACATTTAAAATAGTGCCCAGCACAGAGTAAGTGCTCGGTAAATGTTAGGTAGTATTATTAGCAGTTATCGTGCAATAAAGATTAGATACTGCCGTGCCCCTGTGGCACCCCTGAAGGCCACCTTTGCCCCTAAACCTGTTCGTTCACTGAGTCACAGCATCCTCCAGGATCTGTGCTGGCTCTGCAGCCGCGGAGACAAGGTAAGTACCTTCATCTCCCAGGAGCTCCCTTCACCGTCCAGTGACACTCAAAGATCCCAACTCTTTAGTGTGGCCACCAACACCCTGCACACTCCATGCTCGGGTCCCTGATCATGTCACGGTCCCAGATCATGTCACCGTCCCTTAGGGTGACTTGCATTGGCTGCCTCTGGCCCTTACCCGCAGCGTTAGTCTTGCCATCTTTAGGCATCAGGTATGTCTCTGGCTTTTTCACCCTGCAGGAGAGAAGTCTGGGTTAGATGCTCCGTTTCCCACTGGGGAATGGGGCGCTTCTAGTGGACCTACGGAAAAACTTCCTACAGGAAAAGGAATGTGGGAAATGGGGGCCACTGCAGAGACAAGATAGCAAGGAAGGGGTATTGGGCATGACAGGGCGGCAGCTCAGCCAGCCTGAGGAGGGGCCGTGCTTCCTGTAGACCCCAATAAGAAGGCACCAGATGTTGAAGAGAGTAAGGGCCTCCTCCCCCAGCTGGATAGAGCGACGCGCTGGGACTAGGAAAGGCTCCTGTCAGCTCCTGGACCAGCTCCCTTCTTCTGGAGCCTGCAGAGAGCAGCCAATGAGGAGTGGGCACCCCGCCACCCTGGACAACAGGAGCTGCCCTTCCCTGCACCAGGGATGCATTCCGGGGTCAAAGCACTGGCTGGAGCGGTACTGTGTCTATGGAAACCCTGTCCTCTGGTCTCCCCCCACACTCAGTGGCCAGAGAGGGACATAGGGAGAGACCTTCTCAGGCTGTGCCCCTGAGATCTTACTCAGACTCTCAGATGCTTTCCACACAGTACCCTGAGGACAGACGACCCCTGGGGTATGGGCAGGCAGGGAATGAGGTGACAAAAGGGAGCCAGGGGCCTGAGATGTGCTCAGCAATTAACGGAGGCCACCAACCTCCACATCCTCTTGGGGACTCGCACTTCACCGTCTGTCAGCACTCTCCACGGCACCCAGGATTGCAGTGGCTCTCACCACCCCGTCTCACATGGCAAACTACTTTCAGAAGGCTTTCGGACCCCCTACCTAGAATGCCTTCCCTGGCATCATAAGGCTCAGAGTGGTCCAGGTGGAGACATGGAAAGGATGCTGGGGGGTTCCAGGTCACATGGGCCCGGGTTGGAATCCTACCTACTTTGCTTCCAGCTGTGTGACTTTGGGCAAGTTGTTTCCCCTCTCTGAGCTTCAGTCCTGCCCTCCTCCAGGGTGGGGCTTGCCACCCCATTTCCTCTCCTGCCTGCCTGGGAAGGGGATGAGGAGGCCACTCACTGGCTGTCCGTGGGGAGCTTGAGGTCGTCGGGGCGCACCTTGAAGAAGTCCAGGACGTGTGGGCAGCGGGAGATCTTGACCGGCAGGCCCATGAGCGCATTGCAGTACTCGGTGAGCGTGCCCTGGCGGCTTTCTGCTGCCCGCTGCCCGTCAAACCACCGCGGCGCTGACCGGACCAGGGAAGGGCACCAGAGAACCAGTGAGCACATTCTCAAGATCAAGTCCAAGAAGGGGTAGGGGAGCAGGGGGCAGCTTGGAGGGCAGGTGTGGGGAGCCAGGACAGGTGACCCGGGCCAGGCGACACAGCCTCTCACCTGGCAGGTGTGGGATGATCCTGCTCTCTGGGCTGATGTCCCCTGCCTCGATAGGAAACATCTCCTTTAAGGCTTTCTAGACAGGAAAGGAGATGTGAAAGAATATTCTTTATTACAACACTGTAAAAACACAAAATTGGGAATGATCTAAATACCCTTCTAACTGCTTGGACTAAACTTCTAAACTTCTGGTGGCATCCGTGATTCCTCTCTTTCTCTCCCACCTCACATCCAAGCCACCAGCAAATCCTTTGGGTTCTACTCCCAGTACCTACCCAGAACCTGACCCTTCTCACGACCCCCACTGCCACTTCCCTGGTCCAAGCTTCCACCAGGCCTGGATTCTACAACCTTCTCCTGTGACTCCACCCTTCTACTCTATCCTGTCCTCAATCCAGCACCCAGAGGAATGCTCTTAAAACCTAAGTGGGATCCTGTCTTCCTCTGCTCAGAACGCCCCCTGCCTCTCGACTCACTTAGAGTGGAAGCCAAAGGCCTCACATTGGTCTACAAGACTCCACGAGGCGTGCCCCTGCCCATCTCACTCACCCCTCCACCACGACTCTCTCCCTGCTCACTCTGCTGCAGCCACCCTTGAATACTCAAGGCCGACTCCTGCCCCAGAGCCTTTGCACTCGCTGCTTGCATTCTTCCTCCGCATGTATCAGTGGCACTCTTTCTCTTTCCCTTTCTTCAAATCTTTGCTCAGAAATCACCCCGTCAGTGAAGCCATCCTTACGCAGTCCGCCCCCTCCCCTTGCTTTATTTTTTTCCATCGTTCTAATGACCACCTAACACACTACATAAATTACTTTTTTTTTTGGTCCATTATCCTGACTCCTCCACTAGAACTTAAGGTCTACAAGGGTGGGCAAGGATTTGCATCTGTTGTTTGTACCCTCGTCACCTTCAGCAGTGTTTCCTGCTAACCAAATAGAACATGCCTGGTACTTAAATGGTGCTCAATAAATAATGGTTGAATGGATGAGTCCACCAATTACTTAAAGAGGCTAATCCTACAATGGAATAACCCAGAATGGTTTACAGTGGTGAGCTGGAACCACACACCTATCAGCAAGGACAGGTCTCAAACATATAACTTAGTGGTGGTAATAAGACAGAGAAGGAAGCCAGCAGCACCCTGATGGCTTTTATATAGACTACAGAAAATGCACACTCAACACCAGTGCAGATTGTTCATGGTTGCAAGCGTGTGTGTGTGTGTGTGTGTGTGTGTGTGTGTGTGTTGTGTGTATGCAGTCACCCGGGGAGAAGCTGGGACAGGGTATGGGGTGAAGGGAGACTTCCGCTTCTTTTGTAATGTTTTACTTCCCTTATCTTAAAAAAGACTTGTAGCGAATGGCCCAGTGACACCAGCTGTGAAGCCAGGTGTTGGGTGTGCAGGGCTGGTTATAGTCTTCTTTGCATTTATCTGCATTTAGCTTTAAATTACTCACACAAGAGAAATGCAGGAAGTCGCACAGTCCAAGATGCCCTTCCTGGGTAAGGAGGGCCCATCTGGCTTTTGTGGACCCTCCATCCACTTGACCTTGTCTCAGACCAGGAATCAACAGCCAAGCTCTGCACACCATGACCCCTTCCCCGCCCCCCCCATCCCTCACCTCCAGTGACCACCCTCAATTCTCCAACCAGTTGCTGGTGTGGGGACCCTATGGGATTTTAGAGCCTATGGGATTTACTCGTGTCAACCTTGGTGACAGCAGGCACCTGCAAAGGAGAGGATCTGGTTTCTTGGGTGTCAGGATTATCACCCCCCCTTCTGATCCACCAGTGGTCATCAGGGTAATGACCATGAGCGGAAGTGTAAGCTCCTGGGATAACCACCATGGTGGTGACACTGGCTAGGGTGCCCCCTGCAGGGACAAAACAAGTGTGTCCCTAAAGTATGCCCCCTTGAGTTCATGTTGAATGGACAGAGTTTCTGTATGAGAAGATGAACATGTTTTAGAGATGGGTGGTGGTGACCGTCACACGACACTGTGAGTATACTTAATGTCACTGAGTTATACACTTATGTTATGCATATTTTACCACAATAAAAAATGCGTTAAGTAAAATGTTTTTTAAAGTTAAAAAAAAATGCCCCCTTAACTGTGGGCTGGTGAGGGGAGACTCCAGGCGCCTCAGCTCCCAGCCAGCACCTGGGTCACTCTCCTCCCCAAAAGGCAGAGCTGGGACTGGGTGTGGCGTCCCTTCCCTGACCCCGCCCCACTGGGCACTCACGTGGAACTCATAGATCTCGGTGAACCGCCGGTAGACCACCTTCTCAGACAGGTCCTGCCACTTCACCAGGAACATGTACACCTGGGGGGCGGCCAGGGAGGGAGGACCTCATTCAGTTTCCAAGGGGGCCTTGCCACGCACCTGGGCAGCCCCCCACCCCCTGGTGGAAGCCTGAGGACTGGGGGTAGGGGAAGAGCCCTTTGGGGGGCAACCTGGGCCATGGAAAGGGCACCAACTGAATGGACCCAGAGCTGCCACTCCAGCTTTAGGACCCAGGACAAGGTAATCAGCTTCTCTCATATTAACTCAAATTCCTCAGTAGCAGACAGAAGTAGGACCTCACCCTAAGGCTAATATGAGAGTTACAAGGAATAAGATACAGAAAGGCCTGGATCAAACAATACAAGAACTCAGTAAGGTATTGTATAGTTTATGTGAAATGTCCAGAATAGACAAGTCTGCAGAGACAGAAAGGAAATTAGTGTTTTCCAGGAACTGGGGGTGAGGTTGGGGTAGGGAATGAGGAATAACCATTAGTGGTACAGAGTCTCTTTTGGGGTGATGAAATCTTCTAAAATTGATTGTAGAACTCTGTGAATATACTAAAAACCACTGAATTGTACACTTACATAGGTGAACTGTAAGGTATGGGAATTATATCTCAGTAAAGCCATTATTATCTTTCATTTAAAAAAAATGAACTCAGTAAAGAAAAAGAAACCTGCAAAATAGCTAGAAGAATACTACTCAGCCATGAAAAGGAACACATTGCTGATACATGCAACAACATGAGAGAATCTCCGAAGCATTAGTGAAAGAAGTCAAGCACCAAAGGCTACACACAGTATGGTTCCATACCCATGACATTCTATAGAAAGCGCAACTAATTTAAGGTGGAGAAAAATCAGAACAGTGGTTGCCAATGAGGGACAGGGGAGGAATGACGGGCGCAAGGGAAGCTCTAGAGTGATGGTGGCAAAGCTCCACATCTAGATGAAGGTTTGGGTTACATGGAGACATGCACCACTAAATGTATCTCTAAGATCTGTGGGTTTCATTTCTTGTAAATTTTACATCAAAAGAGAAAAACCTATAAACAAAAACTAAACTCTAGTTAGTGATACGCACACTGAAGTACTAGGGCAAGGTGTACTGAGTTTTGCAATTTGCTTTAAAATGCACCAAAATTAAGACAGATTGGTGAATGGATGGATAGAAATGTGATTAAGAACGTATAGGGAAATGTTAATAGTAGACTCTAGATAATGGGTATATGAGTGGTGGTTTGGGGGAGTGGTTGTTTTGTTTGTAAAATTCTTTCAATTTTGTTGTAACTCTGTGTTTGAAAATTTTCAGAATAAAATTTTGGGAAATAAAAAGAACAGTTACTAATGGATATAAGGTTTCTTTTGGGATGATAAAAATGTTCTAAAAATTAGGTTATGGCGATAGTTAGACAACTTGGTAAATATACCAAAAATCATCTATCACTTTAAGTGGGTGATGTATTTGGTGTGCAAATTATGTCAATAAAATGTTTAAAAGTAAGAATATGGTGAACTCCAGGCAGCTTTCATGATAAACTACAGGTGAGCCTAATGTTCATGATTAGATATGAATATTCTAATTCAGATCTCAGACCAAGGGGGTCAACGAACTTTTTCTGGAGTCAGATAGTAAATACTGAAGGCTTTGTAGGCTCTCCAGTCTCTGTCCCAACAAACCAACTCCGTCATTTTAGTACAAAAACAACCATAGACAATATGTAAATGAATAAGCATGGGGAGAAAATAATAGTTAGGAAACCCCTAAAAAAGGAGAAGTATGTGGGAGACTATCCCTTTCAGACAGTAAAACAGACAATGAAACCTTTATAATTAAAAACAGTGTGCGTCACACTGGTTAGGAGAGCTATTATTTAAAAATACAGAAAACAGAAAAAACAAGTGCTATCAAAGATGTGGAGAAATTGGAACACTTGTGCATTGCTATTAGAAATGTAAAATGGGGGGCCGGTTGGGTGGCGCAGTTGGTTAACAGGCAAGCCCTGAGCAACAGGGTTGCCAGTTTGACTCCTGCATGGGATGGTGGGCTGTGCCCACCTGCAACTAAGATTGAACATGGCACCTTGAGCTGAGCGGCCGTGAGCTGTGGTCAGGCGGCCGGATGGCGACTGGACTTGGAGCTGAGCTAGCTGCGCCCACCACAACTAAGACTTAAGGACAACTTGGCTGTTCCCCTTCCC